AAGCTCTCGGTACAGCTTTGGAGGACCAGAGTGAAAATGGTGGCCTCCCAATCTCCGCCGGAGGAGCTGAGAACTCGGGGCCCCGCTCCTCAGTGCGCCCCCAGAGAAAAGCAGTCACTCCTGTCTCCCTGGTCTCCGGCTGCACTCAGTGCTCACCCGGCCTGTGACCGAGGGTTTCTTTCTCTGGCACCCGACCCCGTGTGGAGTCTCCAAACCCAGCAGATCCCTGCGGTGCGCTCCCACGCCGCTCCTCCCAGGGGAGGAAGGGAAGTCTCCCCAGCTCTGCCGCTTGTTGGGTCCCTGCTGGAGGAGCAGTGGCCCGACTGGGCCGCGGATCACAGTTTATGGCAACCCCGAGCTGAGAGCCCGAGCCTCGGCTCCGTCTCTGCAGCCGGCTTCCCCACTCTGATACCTGGGAGCTCTGCTGCACTCAGGCACGCCTGGTCTTTCTGTGACCCTGAGGGTCCTGAGACCACACTGTCCTGCGAGGGTTCCACCCCCGCTTAGCCACCAGAGCAATGTCCCTCAGCGGAGCCGACTTCTAAAAGTTCCGATTTTGTGCTCCGCGGCTCCAGTACTTGCCAGAAGCGGCGGACAGAGGCCCCCTCCCCCGCCGTCTATCCTCCCGAATATCGCCTCGGATTCACTTCTCCGCACTTCCTACCTTCCAATAAGTGGTCGCTTTTCTGTTCAGAGAGTTGTCGCTATTCTTCTCTTCGATCTCCTGTTGAGTTCGTAGGTGTTCAGAATGGTTTGATCCCTGTCCAGCTGAATTCCTGAGACCAGATGAAGTCCAGGTCTCCTACTCTTCCGCCATCTTGCTCCGCCCCCTCTATTTTTAACTTCTTGAGGAACCGCTACACTGTTTTCCAAAGTGGCTGTACCAGCTTGCATTCCCACCAACAGTGTAAGAGAGTTCCCCTTTCTCCACATCCTCGCCAACATTTTTTGTTTCCTGCCTTGTTAATTTTTGCCATTCTAACTGGTATAAGGTGGTATCTCATTGTGATTTTGATTTGAATTTCCCTGATGGTTAGTTATGTTGAATATTTTTTCATGTGTCTATTAGCCATTTGTATGTCTTCTTTGGAGAAGTGTCTGTTCGTGTCTTCTGCCCATTTTTGACTGGATTATTTGTTTTTTGGGTGTTGGGTTTCAAAAGTTCTTTATAGATCTTGGGTACCAGCCCTTTATTTGTAGTGTCATTTGCAAATATCTTCTCCCATTCTGTGGGTTGCCTCTTTGTTTTGTGACTGTTTCCTTTGCTGTACAGAAGCTTTTTATTTCAGTGAAGTCCCAAAAGTTCCTTTTCCCTTTTGTTTCCCTTGCCTTTGGAGATGTGTCTTAAAAGAATTTGCTATGGCTGATGTCAAAGAGGTTACTGCCTATGTTCTCCTCTAGGATTTTGATGGATTCCTGTCTCACATTGAGGTCTTTCATCCATTTAGAGTTTATCTTTGTATATGGTGTAAGGGAATTGTCCAGTTTCATTGTAGCTCTCCAATTTTCCCAGCACCATTTATTTAAGAGACTGTCTCTTTTCCATTGGATATTCTTTTCTGCTTTGTCAAAGATTAGTTGACCATAACATTGAGGGTTCATTTATGGGTTCTGTATTCTGTTCCATTGGTCTATATGTCTGTTTTTGTGCCAATACCATGCTGTCCTGGTGATCACAGCTTTGTTTTAAAGATTTATTTATTTACTTTGAGAGAAAGAGAGAGAGAGATTTAGAGATAGAAAGAGCTAGCAGGGGGAGGGGCAGGGGGAGAGGGAGAATCCCAAGCCAACTCCCTGCTGAGCACAGAGCCTGACTAAGGGCTTGATCCCACAACCCTGAGATCATGACCTGAGCCAAAACCAAGAGTTTGTTGCTCAATCATCTTAGCCATCCAGCACCCCAAGAGACTCTTAACTATAGGAAACAAATTGAGGGTTACTGGAGGGGAGGTGGGTGGGGGGACAGGGTAATGGGGTGATGGGCATTAAGGAGAGCACTTGATGTAATGAGCACTGGGTGTTATATGCAACTGATAAATCTCTAAATTCTACCCTTTAAACTAACAGTACACTATATATTAACTAAATTAAATTTAAATTTAAAAATTTTTTAAATAAAAAAATTAAAAAATGGAGTCAGCAGTGATGGTGTTAGGGGAAAAAGCAAGTTTCCATTTCAACTCTCTTCATCTGTAACTCTGAATAAAACCTGTACTTTTTGAGAAGCCATTTAGCAAACTGACTGAGAGTCATACTGATGGCATTAGGTAAGGTAACAGTTGTTCCTGTAACAAATAAACTCCAAAATGTCATTGGCTAAGCACAAGAGTAGTTAATATCCCCCTTCTGTATTAGGAGAGGATGGACAAACAGGTTTGAAAGGAGTCTGTCCTCCAACTTCAGGCTTATGGAAGCTCTTCTGTCTTGTATGCACAGCTTTCAAGGTCATCCAAGAGTCCTTTCCATTTTTATTAACTGAAAAGAAAAAAGAACGTGGCAGAGTCCCATGAGGGAGCTTTATATGGGCCATCTTAGAAAATGGTGCACATCACATCCCTTCACGTTCTACTGGCTATAAATCAGTGAAGTGGTCCCACCTGAGAGCAAGGGGAGCAAGGGGAGCAGGGAGATATAGATGAAGTCTCATCCTAGTGACAAGTCTATAGTCTGGAATCAGGGGTAGAGGGAGTTTTGAATTCTGGGTGGACAGTGGCTTTGCTCCACAAGTGATATTAGCTTTTGTCTCCATTATGATCACAGTCATCATCATATCCAGGAAGAATTGGAAATAACTGTTTTCCAAAGTTCCTTTTAACCCTAAAAGACTATGATCTCACAGCCAGAAGGTTGTGAAAGCACTATTTTTCTCCCCTGGGAGGCAGTACATTGCTATGCTTAAGAGTAAGTATAGTCTCTGGAGACAGTTTGGGTTTCAAATCCATTTTTATTTTTTACTAGATATGTGATCTTGGGTGAGATTTACCTTTTGGTCCCCAATTTCCTCATTAGAAAATGGGCAAGGTTGGCAAGTACAGTGCTGACGCTGATTCTGTCCCACCCTCTGTTTCTGTAAAAAAAAAAAAAAAAAAAAAAAACTGTTTTATAAAACAGTCTGTTTTGTTTTTTGGAACCACAGCCACCAGTGTCTGAGAGATGGATGTCCCACTCAAGCAGAGAGCAAATTCTCCCTTCCTCCATCTAAGTTTTCCTTAGACCCTCAGGTGGATTGAATGATGATGCCCGCCCTCATTGGTGAGGGTGATCTTTACTTAGTCTACCAACTCAAATGCTAATCTCTTCCTGAAAAACCCCCACAGACACACCCAGAAATGATGTTTTATATGTTATCGGGGCATTCTTTAGCTCAGTAGAGTTGACACATAAAATTAAGCATCACACCCACCCAAAGGGCAAGGGCCATGGAATATTCATCTACCAATTCTCGTCTGTCATGGATCTGAGGACTGTTCCCATGGCATTCATTCCTTGGTATTTCTAGCCCGCTCCTATGTGGAGTAAGCAAGGGACACTGAGAGATCCCCAAAAATGTGTTGCCCCCAGGCAAAATGTCACAGATGTTAAAATTGAAAATGTAGGCCAACATCCAGGAAATGCTAAGTGATGAGGACATGATCAGGCACAGACCACATTCCTAACTCTTGTCTCCCCCCCAGGTGCTGTGCTCCATCATCGCAGGGGTGCTGCACTACCTCTACCTGGCCTCCTTCACCTGGATGTTCCTTGAAGGGCTGCACCTCTTCCTCACCGTTAGGAATCTCAAGGTGGCCAACTACACCAGTGCAGGCAAATTCAAGAAGAAGTGCATGTACCCTTTAGGCTATGGGATTCCAGTTCTCATTGTGGCTGTGTCTGCAATAGTAGGACCGCAAAATTATGGATCACATACTCAGTAAGCATGATGTGTGCCTTTATGGTGGAAGCGGCGTCTGTGGCTGATACATGGTCTGAAATAAAAAAACATTTCAGTCCATTTCCTGTTGTGAATTATACCTCACAAAACCAGTCCCGTTTTAAGCCAGAATTCTATTTTCTCTTAGAAATTCCTAGAGGAATGATTCTCAGCATCTTTGGAGTTGGATCCTTTTGAGACTTTTGGTGAAATCCAGGGCCTATTTCCCGAAACAAGGAAATATACCTTTCAGACAAATGTATTACACATAAAATTTTGAATACAACTTCAGGACATTAGGGACAAAAAGGTACACTCAGGAAATTCAGGGACAGAAAAGCCCACCTGTGGCCTCTGTGTTCTAGAGGATTCTGAAATAGCATACTGAAGAGCTTGAGATTCATCCCAGAATGTAAAGAGTAACAACAATAGCAACAAAACTTGAAGGCCTGTGATGCATGAGATAGCGCATATCATGTCTCATTCTCCCCATGATCCTGTGGGGTCAGCACTGTTCATCACCTCATACATGGGACTTCTGGGTCTTAGTGCATCTAAGAAACATTCTTAAGGTCTCAGCTAAAAAGAGAATTAATCAGAATTCCTCCCTAAAGGAATTTCTCCCTCATTAAGAAGTTTACAAAGCTCTGCAAGGTTAGATGAGGACGTTAGTGTTTTGGCAATGGGGCTTCGGTTAGGGAGTAGGAACGCATGTGCTAAAACAACATGATGAAGATGTCTCTCTTGAAGAAAAAAGATGTCCTGTCTCCAGCCTGAACCCTATGTCCTGCCAGAACAATTCTGGAGATCTCACAGTGGCGTAGATCAGGGGTTGGCAAATATTCTATAAAGCGCCAATGATAACTGTTTTTGTCTCTGCAGACCATATGGTCTTTGTGGCAATTACTCAATGTTGCCCTTGTGGTGAGAGAACAGCCATTTCATAGACCATGTATAAATGAATGGATGTGGCTATGTTTCAATAAAGCTTTACTTACAAAAACAAGGGGTGGACTGGATTTGGACTATGGGTGATCGTTTGTAACACTTGGAATAGAACTTAAGTGTCAGAGCTTTTCTGCTCACTGAGTGTTGGCAATTGCTTGTTACATTTACTAGTTTTATGCTGCCCGGTCTTTGTTCGGGATAATTTATACTATCTCTGCCAACATAAGGCATGATTTAATAAAAAGTATTTGGGCAACAGAGTACTTGGTACATGGAAAATACTTAGTGTTGGTAGGTTTTCTGGCTGTAGTTAAATTACTAATTTTACTCTCTTTCTGATAGAAATCATTATTTTGGGGCACTATTTATTGAGGCTTACCTCTTTGCCAGGAACCATACTCAAAAACTATGTACACATTACCTCATTTGATCTTTCCTACAAGATCTATATGAGGAAAACTGCAAAAGTCTGATGAAAGAAATCAAAGAAGATTCAAATAAATGGAGAGATAGTCCATGTTCATGGATAGGAAGATTCAATATTGTCAAGAAGTCAGTCAGTTCCTCCCAAACTGATCTATAGATTCAATGCATTCTCAATCTCAATGCCAAAAGCATTATTTTGTGTATAATGATAAACTGATTCTAATGTTTATATAGAGCAGCAGAAGATCCTGAATAGCTAACACAATATTGAAAGAGAAGAACAAAGTCAGAGGAGAGACCCTAGCTGATTTCAAGACTTGGCATACAGCCACTGTAATCATTTAATCTTTTCAATTCTTCTGTTTGCCCCCACTTTACACTTGAGGAAACTGAGGCTTAGAGCATACAGCTTGTGTCAGATGAGGACCCATGTGTGCTTGCATCTAAAATCTAGGTTCTGAGCAAAATGGTTCCCAGCACTGGTTGGATCTTGTGACAGGAGTCTGAATTCAAGCTCTCTGCCCTCTGAGAAATAGGCAGCTCATGCATACCCTTCTCTCAACAGCTGCTGGCTCAAGCTCGATAAAGGGTTCATCTGGAGTTTCATGGGGCCAGTGGCAGTCATTATCTTGGTGAGTGACTAATGATATTTATGGATGTGTCTGCCCTGGGTTGGCCAAGCATGGAGTGTGTTTCTTGCTGTGAAAATGGAAATGAAGTGAAGATAAGAAAATATAGCCTAATGTGATTAACTCCTCTTCCTAGAAATACTATCTTCATATGTCTTTCCTTTGCTCCCTTATGGATTGCTTGTTGCTGTGATATAATATAACTCTCTGCAGGGGATTCTTGTAAAAACCTATGTTTGTTCATTTAACAAACATTTAGCAAGTATCTACTCTGCACAGAGTGACATGTTCTCCTGTTTGCCAACAACTTCCTGATCACATCTATTGTCCTGGTATAGACAGTAATCTTTCACTTTCAAGGCATCTTGATTTGAATGATACATTATATAGTCACACTAATCAAGTATCAAGTGCCCCAGGTCCATATACACACAATATGCTGTATAAAAGACCAGAGCATGACATCCCATGAAGCTTGTATCTTTTGTAAAAAAGATACTTAGGTCCACCTCAAATTGGGTTGCACGACACGGCCTCAAAATAAAATTCCAAGTCAATATTTCATTCTGTGTCCACAGATAAACTTGGTGTTGTACTTCCAAATTCTGTGGATTTTGAGAAGCAAACTTTCCTCCCTCAATAAAGACGTTTCTACCATTCAGGACACCAGGTAAGAAGGTCCCAGAATCAGTGATATCCACAAATTTTTCCCACAGGGCTACTTTTCGTTCTGCCTGGGAAAGAAAAACCTATACAAAAATCTGATATAAAATTTCATGGTACTGGATAAAGGGTGTGTGCAGTACAACTTCTAGAAGTAAAAACTATAAATTTCAGGTAGCTTAATGTACTCCTTGATCTCTTTATTCAACAAATATTCATTGGGTGCCTCCTTTGTGTAGAAACCTCTTCATCTGAAATTCATGCCAAGAGTATCAACATTATCCTTCCTCCCCCACCCCATGAGTCCACCCACTTCTGGACTCCATTATCCTTGGTTGTAGACACTCAGTTCTTACTGTGCTGATCTAAGTGATTAAAAATAATGATAAGAACAACTAACATTAACTAGGAACTTAGTAGATGTTTGGAATTTACCAATATTCTTTTACTGAATGCTCATAATTTTAATCTATGTGGTGGGCACGACTACCATTCCCCCATTGATAAGAGGAGCAAGTGCTTATTTTACCCAAGCGTGGGCAAAAAATTGCATTGGTGAGTCATGTGGACAAAACTTAAAGGAATATCTTTCCAATTTCAGAACCTGGCTTTGATCTCATCTACTTATCAGACCAACCTAACATCTCTTCGCCTTAGTGTTTTCAGCTTGGAGGGTCACAGCTTCACCCTTCCTGGCATTTCTTCATCCCTCTACACGTGTTTGATGAGTGCAGGCTCACACCCCTGTGTGCATGCACACACACACACTCACACATGTCATCTCTCCTAGACAGTTGCCACCAAGAACCCCATTCTGTTTTATAAAACACAATTTTCCTTTGAAGAAACACAACAGCATGTTCTATTCTGAAGTCATGATATCATCATTAACACATTTTCCAATACAGATTTCTAGAAGGCACTTCCACACATCTCCCAATAGATCCAAGTAAAAGACTTGCAGATAAATCACTTCCAAGAATAGGAGAAAGCATTATTCTCAGAAGCAGCCATGGAAAACATGGGTTCTGCCTCATCTTCGAGTTGTATGACTTTGCATAGGTCATGGGGTTGATGTGAAGTTTAAATCAGGTAATATGTGCAAAGCATTTAGCACAGCACCCAACACATAGTGATGAATGATACTTATTATTGCTCCTGTTCCTTTTCAGAGTCATGACATTTAAAGCCATTGCTCAGCTATTTATCCTGGGCTGTTCTTGGGGCCTTGGCCTTTTTATGATTGAAGAGGTCGGGAATGTGATCAGATCAGTCATTGCGTACACATTCACCATCATCAATATCCTGCAGGGTGTTTTGCTCTTTGTGGTACACTGTCTCCTTAATCGCCAGGTAAGGCTAATTATTTTGTTTCTTAACAGCCAACTCTCAAAGTCTTATTGAATGGCTGTTCCCATTCTCACCTTTCTCTGGCATTTCATATTTGTATTTGGGGTTTCCTTATTCTGAAAGGAGGCTTTAGGTGATGATTTGGTATGCTGTGTGCTCTGGGTTTCACTAGCATCTGACTAAACTTCACATTCCAACCTATCTCTTAAGAGTACGCCTTTGTCAGCTGGGGATGACATATCAAAATACCATAGACTGTGTGGTTTGGGCAACAGAAATTTCTCGTATAATTCTAGAGGTTGGAAATCTGAGTTCAGGGTTCCTGTGCAGATGGGTTCTGGTGAGATCTCTGTTCTTTTTTGCAGATGGCCACCTTGCTCTACCCTTACATGGGGGAGAGAAGGAGAGAGAGCTTTTATGCCTCTTCTTATCAGGACACTAATCCTATTGGCTCAGGGCTCCACCCTTATGGCCTCATTTAATCTGAACTGCTTCTATAAAGGTCATTATGTCTTCAAATACAGTCATACTGGGAAGTTAGGGCTTTAACATGTGAATTTTGGGGAGACATAGTTCAGTCCATAGCAGAGCATGTATCAGTCAGCATAAGGGAGATTATGATTCAGTAACTTATAGCCACCACCCTCTAATTTCAGTGGTTTATAACAATAAAGGTTTATTTCTTGCTCATGCTACATAGCCATGGCTTGATCTACATTGTCTTCACTCTGGGATATAGGTTGAATAAGAGCAGCCCTTATTTAGAACACTGGTATTCTCATGGCCGAGGGAAGGGAGATCCTGGCAAAGTGAGCTAATTAGCTCTCTTCCATTGGGTGGAGCAAGTTCCTTGGCCATACCTGAGTTCACCAGAAAGAAGATACAGAAGCCTCTTATAGTGAGGTGCACTTTAGGGAGAGACAGTGGAATATTTGACTTACTATGCCAAAAACAGAGTGACTTCAGCTCTAATGTAGGTTTTCCACTGAGTAGGTTGCTGTGTGACTTTGGCCAGCCTTCTTACCCTCTCTGAGCCTCAATCTCTCACCTGTGTTTGTGGCAATACCTGCCTCACAGGATTAAGAATTAAAAGAGATATTGTGGGGGGCGGGGCAAGATGGCAACAGAGTAGGGGACCTTGTTCCATCTAGTCTCTCAAAGTTAGATGGATATTTATCAAACCATTCTGAACACACATGAATTCAACCTGAGATGTAAGATTTATCTGGATCTCTACAAGCAGAAAAATGACTACTTTTTGCAAGGTAGGAGGTGCAGAACCCTGAATCTTCCGGGGAAATATCAGGAGATAAACAGAAGGGGAATGGACCCTCCATAAGCTAGCCCCTGGAAAGTGATATAACACTGGAGCAAAAAATGGGGACCCTTAGAAATCTGCTCCAGTGAGAGATTTCCCTTTCTGAAAAGGGCACAAGGGATGAATAGGGCAGAATTTTAGGTCGATCATTGAGGTCTCAGAATTCCAGGAGACTCAGAAATTATGGGGGAGCCTGACCAATAGAGTGCCCAAGCAGTGGAGTGAGGAGACTGGTTATGGTCAGTGAGCCCAGAAGGGACTCTCAGATCCAGTCACCATAAACTGCCAGCTGGCTTGTAGGGAGACCACTCTCTGCCTGACCACCCTGAAAAGGACTAGAAGGTGCAGGCTGTTTAACGTCTCAGGGGAGATAGAAAACAGCTTGCGCCCATGACTGGGCAACAGCTCTCAGGGCGGTGTGGCCCATGAAAGAACACTGGGGAGGCACCCAGCCATGAACTGGGAGCCACAGAAGAGGGTGCATGCACAAGCCCACAGCCACTAGCAATTGCAAAGTCACAAAGGGCACAGATGCTCTCAGGTCCCCGGAACTCCCCTGGGAGAGTTGCAGAGGGTGGGAATAGCACGAGTCTGTGGAGTTTGGTACACACAGAAGTGGAGATGGTTTGACCTGGAAGGTTTATTGAAGAAAGGGGACAGCGAACCTGTGGCTCTGGGCCAGAGATTCCTGAATGGCCATATTTACTCTGACCCTCTAAAGAGAAGCCGAAAGCCACCAGGGAACAAAAGCCACACAAATGACCAGCTCACATTAAGCCCATCCCCCTGACAAGGGGTGGGGCATTCCACCCAGGCAAAGACACCTGAGAAGCCAAGCAGCAGGCCCCTCCCCCAGAAGACAGACTGGAAGAACAGGTGAATGATAAGTTTATTCCCCACAGGACTGTAAAACTCCAGTGCCAGGGGGAAAATAATATAGGGAGCTCCAGGTGTTCTCTCATGATTCATTTATACTTCAGGCTAAAATTTTACATTTCTTTTTTGTTTCTTTTCTTTTTCTTTCTTTCTTTTTTTGTTTTTTGTTTTACCCTGTTCGTGTTTCAAATAGATTCTTATTTCCCAAGTTATGTTTTAAGCTGCTTTTTAACTTTTATTTGTTCACTTCTACGTTTTATAGACTATTCCCATACTAGTCCGTTTTTCACTCTATTCAATTTTATCTTGATAATTATATAAGTTCTGATTTCTTTGCAATTTTGCGATATAGTGTCTTCAAACACACAGACCAAAAATCAATCAGGAACAGGCAGATAACCCTGCTTTGTCCACCCTGAGAGATTATAAGCTCTCCCGCACCTTTTTTTATTGTTTTGGATCATCTTGGCTTTGTTTGCATATCTGTGGTAGCTTTCGACCACTTTGGATTTTTTTTAGGGTGCATTCTGCTTGGGTGGTGGTTGATATTTTGGACTCTGTTCATTCACTCAACCATCCCTCAACAGAATGACTAGGAGGAGGAACTCTCAACAAAGAAAAGAACCTGAGACAATTTCCTCTGCCACAGAACTAATGGGTATGGAAATAAGCAAGATGTCAGAGATAGAATTCAGGATAGCAATCATGATGTCAATAGCTAGGCTTGAAAAAAAGCATTAGTGACAATATAGAATCTCTAAGGGAAGAAATGAGATCTAATTAGGCCAAACTTAAAAATGCTATGACTGAGATGCAATCCAAAATGGATAGTCTAACAGCCAGAGTAAATGAGGCAGAATAGAGAATAGTGATCTAGAAGATAAGCTGATGGAAAGGAAGGAAGTCGAGGAAAACAGAGATAGGCAGCTAGCAGCCCATGAAAATAGACTTAGAGAGATTAATGATACCATGAAACGTTCCAATGTCAGAATTATTGGGATCCCTGAGAGGGTGGAGAGAGAGAGAGGACTAGAAGGTATATTTGAACAAATCATAGCTGAGAACATCCCTAATCTGGGGAAGGAAACAACCATTCAAGTCCAAGAGGCAGAGAGGACCCCTACCAAAATCAATAAAAATAGATCAACACCCCAACATATAATAGTGAAGCTTGCAAATCTTACAGCTAAAGAAACTATACTGAGAACAGTTAGGGGGAGGAGGTTCCTTACATATGAACAGAACATCAGAATAACATCAGACCTATCAGCGGAGACCTGGCAAGCCAGAAAGGGCTGGCAAGACATATTCAGGGTACTAAACGAGAAGAACATGCAGCCAACAATACTTCATCCAGCAAGGCTGTCATTCAGTATGGATGGAGAGGGGCACCTGGGTGGCTCAGTCATTAAGTGTCTGCCTTCCACTTGGGTCATGATCCCAGGGTCCTGGGATCAAGCCCCACATCAGGCTCCCTGCTCCGTAGGAAGCCTGCTTCTCCCTCTCTCACTCCCCCTGCTTGTGTTCCTGCTCTCGTTATCTTTCTCTCTGTCAAATAAATAAATAAAATATTTTTTAAAAAAAGAATGGATGGAGAGATAAAGAACTTCCAGGACAGGCAGAAAATGAAAGAATATGTGACCACCAAGGCAGCCCTGCAAGAAATATTCAGGGGGATTTGGTAAGCAAAGAGAGACCCCAAGAGTAATATAGACCAGAAATTAACAAGACAATCTACAGAAACAAGGACTTTACAGGCAATACAATAGCACTAAATTCATATCTTTCAATAATTACTCTCAATGTAAATAAGCTGAATGCTCCCATAAAAAGACACAGGATTTCAGATTGGAAAAAAAAGCAGGACCCATCCATATTCTGTCTACAAGAGACTCATCTGAACCTAAAGAAACATCCAGACCGAAAGTGAGGGGATGGAGAACCATTTACCATGCCAACGGACCTCAAAAGAAAGCTGGTGTAACAATCGTCATAACAGGCAAATTAGATTTTTTTAATTATTATTATGTTATGTTAGTCACCATACAATACATCATTAGGTTTCTTTTACTTTTTTTATTATGTTAATCACCATATATTACATCATTAGTTTTTGATGTGGTGATCCACGATTCATTGTTTTCGTATAACACCCAGTGCTTCAAATTAGATTTTAAACCAAAGACTGTAGTAAGAGATGTAGAGGGACACTATATCATACTTAAAGGGTCTATCCAACAAGAAGATCTAACAATTGTAAATATCTATGCCCCCAACATGGGAGCAGCCAATTATATAAAACAATTAATAACCAAAAAAAGAAACTTATTGAAAAAATACATTAATAGTAGGGGACTTCAACACTCGATTCACAGCAATGGACAGATAATGTAAGCTGAAGATCAACAAAGAAACAAGAGCTTTGAATGACACATTGGACCAGATGGACTTCATAGGTATATACAGAACATTCCATCCTAAAACAACAGAATACTCATTCTTCTCGAGTGCACATGGAACTTTCTCCAGAATAAACCACATACTGGGTCACAAATCAGGTCTCAACCGGTACCAAAAGATTGGGATTATTCTCTGCATATTTTCAGAACACAATGCTTTGAAACTGGAACTCAACCACAAGAAAAAAATTGGAAGGAACTCGAACTGTTGGAGGTTAAAGAGCATCCTACTAAAGAATGAATGGGTCAACCAGGAAATTAAAGAAGAATGTAAACAATTCATGGAAACCAATGAGAATGAAAACACATCGGTCCAAAACCTATGGGATACTGCAAAGGTGGTCCTAAGGGGGAAATACATAGTCATCCAAGCCTCTCTCAAAAAATTAGGAAAATCCCAAATGCACAAGCTAACCTTACACCTAAAGGACCAGGAGAAAGAACAGCAAATAAAGCCTAAACCAAGGGGGAGAAGAGAAATAATAAAGATTAGAGCAGAAATCAATGAAATAGAAACTAGAAGAACAGTAGAACAAATCAATGAAACTAGAAGCTGGTTCTTTGAAAGAATTAATAAGATCAATAAACCTCTAGCCAGACTTATCCAAAAGAAAAGAGAAGGGACCTAAATTAATAAAATCATGAATGAAAGGGGAGAAATCATGACAAATACCAAGGAAATAGAGACAATTATCAGAACTTATTAACAGCAGCTATATGCCAACAAACTAGGCAATCTGGAAGAAATGGATGCATTCCTGGAAACCTATAAACTACCAAGACTGAAACGGGAAGAAATAGACAATCTGAACAGACCCATAACCAGCAAGGAAATTGAAACAGTAATCAAAAATCTCCCAAAACACAAGAGTCCAGGGCCAGATGGCTTCCCAGGGGAATTCTGCCAAACATTTAAAGAAGAAATCATGGATACCAGCCCTTTATCTGTAGTGTCATTTGCAGATATCTTCTCCCATTCTGTGGGAGTTTGTCTCTTTGTTTTGTTGATTGTTTCCTTTGCTGTGCAGAAGCTTTTTATCTTGATGAAGTCCCAAAAGTTCATTTTTGCTTTTGCTTCCCTTGCCTTTGGAGGAATGTTTTGAAAGAAGTTGCTGTGGTCAATGTTGAAAAGGCAACTCCCTAGGTTCTCCTCTAGGATTTTGATGGATTCCTGTCTCACATTGAGTTCTTTCATCCATTTTGAGTTTGTCTTTCTGTATGGTCATGCCATTGTTGTTCAACATAATACTAGAAGCCCTAGCCACAGCAATCAGACAACAAAAAGAAATAAAAGGCACCCAAATTGGCAAAGAAGAAGTCAAGCTCTCACTCTTCACAGATGATATAATACTTTATGTGGAAAACCCAAAAGACTCCACCCCTAAATTACTAGAACTCATATAGCAATTCAGCAATGTGGCAGGATACAAAACCAATGCACAGAAATCAGTGGCATTTTTATAGACTAACAAGGTAACTGAAGAAAGAGAAATTAAGGAATTGATTCCATTTATAATAGCACCAAATAGCACCAGAAACCATAAGATACCAAGGAATAAATCTAAATAAATAGGTAAAGGATCTATACTCTAGAAACTACAGAACACTTCTGAAAGAAATTGAGGAAAACACCAAGAGATGGAAAAACATTCCATGCTCTGGGATTGGAAGAACAAATATAGTTAAAATGTCTTCCTGCCCAGAGCAACCACACTTTCAATGCAATCCTTATCATAATACCATCCACATTTTTCACAGAGCTGGAAAAAACAATCCTAAAATTTGTATGGAACCAGAAAAGACCCCGAATCACCAAGGAAATGTTGAAAAATAAAAACAAAGCTAGGGGCATCACAATGCCTGACTTCAAGCTATATCACAACAAAGTTGTGATCATAAGACAGCATAGTAGTGGCACAAAAACAGACATATAGATTAATGGAACAGAATAGAGATCCCAAAAATGGACCCTCAACTCTATGGTCAACTAATCTTCGACAAAGCAGGAAAGAACATCCAGTGGAAAAAAGACAGTCTCCTCAATAAATGGTGCTGGGAGAACTGGACAGCCACATGCAGAAGCATGAAACTAGACCATTTTCTTACACCATACACAAAGATAAACTCAAAATAGACGAAAGACCTCAATGTGAGACAGGAATCCATCAAAATCCTAGAGGAGAACAGAGGAAGTAACCTCTTTGACATTGGACACAGTGACTTCTTTCAAGACATGTCTCCAAAGGCAAGGGAAACAAAAGCAAAAATGAACTTTGGGGACTTCATCAAGATCAAAAGCTTCTGCACAGCAAAGGAAACAGCCAACAAAACTAAGAGACAACCCACAGAATGGGAGAAGATATTTGCAAATGTCATTACAGATAAAGGGCTGGTATCCAAGATCTTTAAAGAACTTCTCAAACTCAACACCTAAAAAACAAAGAATCCAGTCAAGAAATGGGCAGAAGACATGAACAGACACTTCTCCAAAGAAGAAATACAAATTGTCAACAAACACATGAAAAAATGCTCCACATCACTTGCCATCAGGGAAATACAAATCAAAAGCACAGTGAGATACCACCTTACACCAGTTAGAATGGCTAAAATTAACAAGACAGGAAACAACAAAGGTTGGCAAGGATGTGGAGAAAGGGGAACTTTCTTACACCGTTGGTGGGAAGGCAAGCTGGTGCACCCACTCTGGAAAATAGTATGGAGGTTCTTCAAAAAGTTAAAAATAGAGCTACCCTATGACTCAGCAATTGCACTACTAGGTATTTACCCCAAAGATACAGGTGTAGTGAAAAGAAGGGCACATGCACCCCAATATTCTTAGTAGCAATGGCCACAATAGCCAAACTGTGGAAGGAGGGGAGATGTCCTCCAACAGATGAATGGATAAAGAAGATGTGGTTCATATATACAAAGAACATTACTCAGCCATCCTAAAGGTTGAATACCCACCATTCACATTGAGATGGATGGAACTGGAGGGGATTATGCTAAGTGAAATAAGTCAAGCAGAGAAAGAGAATTATCATATGGTTTCACTCATATGTGGAACATAAGGAATATCATGGAGGACCACAGGGGAAGGGAGGGAAAACTGAATGGAAAGAAATCAGAGAGGGAGAAAACCACGAGAGACTCTGGACCCCAGGAAACAAACTGAGAGTTACAGAAGGGAGGGGGTGGGAGAATGGGGTGACCAGGTGATGGGTATTAGGAGGGAATGTGTTGGGATGAGCACTGAGTGTTATATACAACTAGTGAATCATTGTACACTACATCAAAAACTAATCATGTACTATATGCTGGCCAATTGAACATAATAATAAAAAAATTAAAATAAAATAAGAAAGAAAGAAAGAAAGTTAAAAAAGAAAAAAAGAGAGATAATGCAATATGAATCTCCTAGTGCAGTCCTTGGCATACATTAAGTTCTTGTAAGGGTCATCTTCTTGTATTTTTACTCCTTTTAGATGATTGGAAACAGTTTTCCTGGCTTTTCTCACTTTGCTATTGGGCAGGACTACCAACCATTAAGATGCTGGTGATGAAGACAGCAGCATAACCCTTCATTTATTTCTCTTTCATCTCCTAGTGCCTTCTTAATTGTTGGTATCCTCACACCCAGAAGTACAGTACAACTTAAGTGTCTTTGTGAAATAATGTTGAATATTAAATATTTAAATATCTTTTTATAACATGTTAACAGGTTTCAGGAAGGAATCCATGCAATCACAGGGAGTGGCTCAGCATAGCAGTTAGTGTCGGGGCTCTGGTGTGAGAATGATGAGGTGCTGAATGCTGGCTGTATGACCTTGAATAAGTCCATTTACTTCCAACAGCTTCGGCTTCTTTATCTTTAATTGGGGGTAACAGAAGAACCTTCCTCACTTGGTTCATGTAGGATGAAATGATATACTGTGTAAAATAAAGTGTACTGAAGATTGCTAGTGTTCAATAAATGTTGACTTTCATTGTTATAATCACCACCAGCACCACCATCATCATTTCCGTGATAACTATCACCTTCTCCTTCCTCCTCCTCTTCATTGTCAGAATCATCATCACCACCACCACTCTATAGACTCTACAGAGACTTTGTGATGCCTGACATTTAGTAAATACATTTAGTAAATACATTCAACAAAAGTTGAATTTTAGAATGAACCAAGAAGAGGATGTCCAAGACTATACCAGAAACCAATGAGAGGGTAGTCATGGGGCTTGGCATGTATATCTTTAACCTCCTATTCAGGGTCCTTTCTCCCTAAGCAAGCTCCTAATGTGACACAAACCTCTATATTCCTCAGGTGCGAATGGAATACAAGAAGTGGTTTAGTGGGATCTGGAAAGCGATTAAAACCGAAAGTACTGAAGTAACACATTCTACGACCCAAACCAAAATGGTAAGACCAACTTCTCTACAATGCTGTGTACTGGCTGAACCCAACATCTTGTACTGCCAGGAGTTTCCTGGTCTCTTGATCTGAAGGAAAAGAGAAATTGCATTACTTCCTCCATTATGCTGGTGGTTTCTGGTTTTTGAGGCCAAAATCAGTGGAACACTTCCCTTCCCTTCCTTCTTCCTTCCTTCCTCCCTTCCTTCCTTTCTCTCCCTCTCTTTCTCCAGTCTTTCCATAAATATCCAAATGATATTTATCAAAAAATTTAAATTTATTTAACAATGTTCATTTAACAAATATTTACCGAGTAGCCAGTACATGCCAGATGCTGTTTTAGGTGCTGGGGAAACAGCAGAAGATACACTGACAAAAATCCTTGCCCTCACAGAACTAATATTCTGGTTAGGGGAGGCTGAGAATAAATCCCCAAACATGGATTATACAGTATTTCACAAAGTGATGTGGGCTGTGGAGAAATACAGAGCAGTGAAGAGAAATCAGGACTCATGAGGTGGGGGGAGTTTGGTTTCCAGTACCGGTGGCCACTGACAATTTTTCATTGTCTATCACCACCTTCTATTTTAATTCTCTGCATGATGTGCCTCTCTCTATGATAATTGTCTTACTCTGAAAAACATGAAAGTGTTTACATTTGGTCAATCTCTACCCCCTGTAAGTTTCAGTGCTGTGGTTACTATGATTTTCCTTCTACCTAGAGCAATGCCCGGCCCACAAAAGATGCTCACTTAACTTGAGTGTCTAAGGTCTTTGTTTATAGATGAGAACTCAGACTGGGAAAGTCCACATAATTGGGCTGAAGCTACTCAGCTGGGTACAGGGGTTCAGACTCAGGTCTGTTTTCCTCTGAAAGTTGACAGCATTCCTTGATTGTCACCAGAGATGTTTGTCACTCCAGATCATCAACAACTTTTGGGACCAGCTTCCTGGGACATGCACTCTCAGACCGAGGACAAGTCTGTTTACTGGCTGCTGACTGTGTCCTAACAGTATAAGTATATGCCACTGATTCACCCCTTGGCTGAAATCACCAGCAGTCAAACGTTATGTCAACCTGAACTGTGTAAAGGAACTGTCCCAACACGTGGTCTCCAAAAGCATGTCACATAGTGGAACCCATTGCATGGATTCTGGGGTTCACCAGATTTGAGTTTGAATCTTGATTCTTTCAGGTTCCAGCTGGTAGATGCTGGGCAAGGGGCTTAACCTCTCTGAGCCTCAATTCCTTCATCACTGAAATGTCTGGTTGACTGAGTAACAAAACAATGTACATGAAAGCACTTTGCTCTACTCTGAACCATGTCAGCACTACTTGTATGAACACAACATTATCAAGAGTCAACTATATAGAAGACCACAAACAGTAATCCTATCCCCTTATCTTTGGACAACACATTTCATTCTAAAAAACACATACTCATGGCCCCTAAGTGGCTCAGCTTGTGAAGCGTCCCACTCTTGGTTTCAGCTCAGGTTATGATCTCAAGGCTGTGAGATTGAGCCCTGCATTGGGCTCCATACTGGATGCATTGGGCTCAGAATTTGCTTGAGATTCTTTCTCTCCCTCTCTCTTTGCCCCTCCAACTCATTCTCACACTCTTTCTAAAGATTAAATACATACAAATAAAAACCAAAAAGCAGATATTCAACCGTACAGTCTTCATTGATCCTCTGTAACATTTAGTGATCCTTCACTGTTTGAATGGAGTCAACATGCCTGAGTTCAAGTCCCAACTCCACCACTTCCAGGCTGCATGAGCCTGTGCTAGCCACTTACTGTCTCTGAGCCTTAGGAATTCATCTGTATGGTGAAGATGGTGATAGGATCTATCTCATCATGAGAAGAAAGCGAGGTCATGTGTGTTAAGAGCTTAGAATGCTGCCCAGCATACAGTAAACAAAGACATTGTAAATGTTTGTGAAAAGATCAGATAAATAAAAAGACCATCATAGATGGTGTTTGGTGGAGGAAAGGCTGTAAAGTCAGATATTAGGACCTCTTTACTGAGCTTTGGACCTTAGAGAAATTTTGGTTTGTCATTTCTGAGGTGTTAATTTCTCTTCAGCTTGTTCTACATATTATCTCCCCAAATAGGAAGAACCAGGACCGTCATCAGAAGTCTTTCCCAGAAGAGATCCTGCTTCTGTGCAACCACAGGCTCAGACTCTTGTCTCTGCCTTTTGGCTAAGAACAGAAAACTGAGCTGCTTCTGGACAGCGCCCCTGTGGTCACACGTGGATTGGACAAATGCCACCATCTGTATCTTCCTCCTGAAAGCCGTTGAGTCCTTTCTCTATTTTGGCTTCTAGGTCCAAGAAAGAAGGGGTCATGGGGAGACCTCTGAGACCCATACCCAGTATTGTACATCATGTGCCATTAAATGTTCAAGGAATAATTTTTAATAATGAAGGAAATAAGGGGATTTTCTTCTTCCACTTATCGCTACCTTGCCCAGGATTTATTGGCCAACATCTAGATTCACCTGGCAGGTTTCTTTCTTTGGGCATTTGGTTGCATTTTATGCTCCTGAAGATTTTGCAAACTCGACATTTTCAGAATTCAATAAGTCCCTTATGAATAAATATAAAAAAAAAAGAGGGGTTGCATTCTTGCAATGCAAAATTCCACCACCATCCCGCTTAGGAGTGTGTTATTAATAGGAAGGGTCTTGTGGTCCGGAGACCAGCACTGTCTCTTTTGTTTGATGACTTTCAAACCTACTCATTTATTGGGTTAATTTTTTTTTCTTAGTGTCATCTGGAATGTGTTTTTGTGGAAATGCTCCCAAACCAACAGCGTGAAGGTCACAGCAGTTGTTTGGCCTTACTTGTTTTCTTTTAATATTTCTAATTTCTTTTTCAAAGTAATGGGATTCTAGGAGTGTTTTTCAGCACTGGAATTAACAAATGCATGGCTAACTTTGTTACCAGATGGTGTTTTAAAACCTATTTTACATGATAACAGCAGGAAATGAAAAAATAGCAGCCAAGAGTTGCCATGATTCATTTGAAGAGATTTCATATGCATGTTTAGGGTGTGGACCAAAGACTGTCCCTTTTCTGCTTAATCAGCTCCAGTGTCTCTTCCACATGGCAGCAATGCAACCAGTGATTCAGTCCACTTGCTGGCCTTAAAATTATGTGATTCCTCTTGAACAGTTAAAATTTTGGGAGATTCACACAGTTTCAAAAGGTGTACACAAATAAAACTTCCTGGGCAGATGACAAATCCTTGCACTTAAGCCCCACAAGTGCTGTTGCTGTTTTTGTGTCCAAGACAGTTGCAAGAAGAGGATAAACCAGCCAAATGTTCTTGGTGCTACGGGTTTGGACCTCTCTATTCAATATTTTTCCTCCCCTCCCAACATGAAGGGACATGCTTTCTTTCTCTTTTCTGCCTCTCTCACTCCTTTGCTTTCCTTTCTTTTTTCAGCTGGTTTCCATGTCCCTTGATGTGCCCTCACTATTTTTTTAAATTTTTTATTGTTATGTTAATCACCATACATTACATCATTAGTTTTTAATGTAGTGTTCCATGATTCATTGTTTGTGCATAATACCCAGTGCTCCATGCAGAACATGCCCTCTTTAATACCCATCACCAGGCTAACCCATCCCCCCACCCCCCTCCCCTCTAGAACCCTCAGTTTGTTTTTCAGAGTCCATCATCTCTCATGGTTCATCTCCCCCTCCGATTCCCCCCCCCCATTCTTCCCCTCCTGCTATCTCCTTCTTCTTCTTTTTTTTCTTAACATATATTGCATTATTTGTTTCAGAGGTACAGACCTGTGATTCAACAGTCCTTTGCTTTCTTTAAGAACTAGCTTCTTCATCCTTCAAGAGCCTTTTCTTCTTCTAGCTCTCAGAAATCCATCTCCTTTACTCACTCTATTATCATCTGTATGACTTGACTTACCCTGTATTTTGTATGCTATTGCACACATGATGTGTGTGCTTATAAATCATGTGTGCTTGAATCATAAACTTCTGGAAGGCCAGAATGATAAATGTTTTAAAGATAAATTTAAAAGGTGATAAGTGAAATGTTCCTTGCCTCCACTTAGGGGTATTACTTCTCAAGGTTTACACTGTTGACATTTTGGGCTTTATAGTTCTTGGTTGTGGGTGGCTATCCTGTCCATTGCAGAATGTTGAGCAGCATCCCTGGCCTCTACGAGCTAGATGCCAGTAACCACCCCACATACCCATTGCAACAATCAAAAACATCTCCAGACATTGCCACCTGGGAATGTTGAGAATTACTGGTCTAGGCATTAGTTCATAGTGAACAGGCAACTGCTGAAGAAGTCCTTTGTGGTCAACCAGTTGTTCCAGGAAATGAATAATCGACCAGAGACCAGAATATATTTGCTTGGTGCCTACTCTGTACTTAGAGATGGTAGTATGTATGGAGAACACTTCTTGCATTGTCTGCCCAGCTTTTCTTTTCTGGGAACTGCCCACCCACTGAGACAGAGGCTATTCACCAAAACCCACTTCTGCTTCTATGCAACGTGCACTTTTGCTTAGAAGGGCCTATGCTTGGGTTAGTGCCCCAGAGGAAATAAAACTAAGGGTCTCTAGCAGGGGGCTCTTAATATTTTCTTTTATTGCATCACAGAACAGGCCCACTCCTGCCTCAGAAGAGGCAGGGAGCTTATGTTCCCTCCCAGAGTGCTCTTTATCCCTAAAGTCTGCACATTAGTCTCTCTTCACACACTGCACTGTCTCTCTTCACACACCACCTTGGCAATGAAGCTGTGCCCGATCTCTTTCACCTTTCCCTGCTTTATCATCCTGGACAGTACTCAGCACTGTTGCATGGATATTTACTTATTATTTGCTTTACTTCTTGTGTTACTCCACTGGAGTGTCCATGCCACATGGGCAGAGGTTTTTGTCTGTTTCATTCACCACTGTAATCTTGGTATTTAAAATAATATCCAGCACATAGTAAGTGCTCAATAAATATTCTTGTTTTATGATGAACTTGCTGATTGGTCCTTCCTGTTCCTGGTTTAGTTCTTACACTCTCTGCTACTATCTGTCTTGGTCATCATTCCTCACCCCCATGCCTCCTTATATTTATGCATAAATACAGATATATACTCAATAGAGAAGACAGAAGGCCCCTACTATGTCTACAATTAGAAGACACAATTGCTAGTGTGTCAGCTTTCTTCCATGATACCTTTGCCTTTGTTGTAAAAGGTGTACCCCACATGCCACATAACTTTGTCCCTACTGGCCATCACTGATTGCAACAGTGTGGTCACCCAGGAGGGGTCAATTCATTCACTTGTCCTATAACCCATCAGATTTTCTCTCTTAAGCATTTGAACTAAGAGACTGGAATGGACCTGGCAGCTGTTCAAGAAAACATATTTTTCAAACTCCTAGAGAAAAGGTTATTTAAGGACACTTGTTAGAGAACAGTAAGGTGGGCTTTATCCAAGAAGGGGAGCATCATGATGGGTGTAGGGACCAGTGCAATAGGGTCTTGGAGTCAGGGAGGAGTTTGGACTTAGTTCTGATTCCAACAGTGACAACTGGAAATTTATGTCCAAGGAACAAGGTAGGGGTCAGGGATGTAAAATCACCAAAGGAAACATCAGAACCAGGGGAATTCTTACTGAAGGCAAGTCAGTGTGGTAAGATATGGAGGGTGATCAGATACCAAGGGTGGGGGATTTTTGCTAAACTGATTTAGCAGGATTCTTACTCAAACTGGATTCTATAAAAATAGAGAGGAAAGGCCAAGGTTGAACCTAGTCCAGCAGAGTCCAAGGAGAGAGTCTTTGTCAGAGGTCCCATTGGGATGGCCATAAAGGACCCTGTTCACCAGCTAGAGAAAGTCAGTCTGTAGAGTGAAGAGGACAGACTGAACCAAGTTGTAGGAAGAAGGAGCAATAATTATGTGATTCTATAGCACAGAGGTTAATGGCTAGAGCTGAGGGTCAGAGGGACCCAAGTGGGGAGTCCCAGTTCCACCAGGCTTGGGCAAATGGCTCAACCTTCCCAACCCCCACCATCCTGCCACAATGTATGAAATCTCTAGGTTCCTGCTGCTCCTCTTGGAATAGCACAGTGTTCCCACAATATTGATGTGAACTCCAAATTTACTATCTAGGAAATAGACAAGATGTTCAGTCTCTACCCCAAAGTATAACACTGACTTTGTTTAGCTTATTGGGAGAATAATCCATTCTCCAGCAAGAAGTGGATGCTGGAGGTAGGGCATCTCTAATGGGGATCTGGGCTGAGGAGCAGGTGAGGTCAGACAGGGGGCAATTCCAAGAAGTGAGCCCTTGGAGGCTAAGGGAACTGAGAAATAAGACAGCTAGTATTTCTATGTCTACTTGCAACAAGCAGGGTCAGGGTCAGTAGAGGAGAGAATAAGAAAATCCACTTCAAAGTAATTTCTGCATGGCAGAAATGCCATGAAAAGCAGGAAGAAAAGCAACTTCTCAACCTCACAGATCAAATCCCAAAATCTGGTGTGGAACTGAAATGTTCCTATTTTACTATTATATGTTAACTCATTCTCTTATTTACTTACACTGAGCTGCACACATTAATATTTAATGTCTAGTTCTGTGGTTTTGATTCAATTTATTTTTTTCTACCCCCCCAGCAAGCTTTACTGAGGTATGATTGACAAATAAAATTATATATATTGAAGGTGTACAAATTGATGTTTTGATAGATGCAGACACTGTGAAATAATCACCAATCACCATGGTCAAGCTAATTAGCACATCCATCCCTCCCATAGTTACCATTTATTTTTGATGAGAACATTGAAGATGTGCCGTCAGCATATTTCTGGTATACAAGCACATATTGTTAGCTCTAGTCCCCATGCTGTACACCAGATCCCCCAAATTCATTCATCTTACATAACTGAAATTTCACATCCCTTAACCAGGATATCCCCATTTCTCCCTGCACCCAGTTCCTGGCAATCACCATTCTACCCTCTGCTGCTATGTACTCGGCTTTCTTAGATTCCACATATAAGTGAGATCGTGCCATATGTGTCCTTCTGTGTCTGGCTTATTTCACTTAGTATCACATCCTCCAGATTGATCCATGTTGTTGCAAATGACAAAATGTCCTTCCTTAAGGCTGGATAATATATGTGCCTATATATTTCTGGCACGTCTTCTTTATCCATTCATGCTTTGATAGACAGGTTGTTTCCATACCTGGCTATTGTAAAGAATCCTGCAATGCACACAGGAATGCAGATATGTTTTACCGTGTGTGTGTGTGTTTTGTTTTATTTACTTGTTTGTTTGTTTATTTATATTTTTTATTATGTTCAGTTAGCCACCATATAGTACATCATATTTTTGATGTAATGTTCAATGATTCATTAGTTGCGTATAACACCCAGTGCTCAT